CTCCCGGTTCAGGTAGGGACGCAACTGGTGCACCAGGTGAACCTGGGCAAATGCCCCCCTGGTCACAGTCGACAAATGATTTGTCTACATGTGTATAGTGTGTATTCCCTAGAGCTCTGGGAATATATATATATATATATATTCATTACAAAACTTATAGTTTGAACCCATAATTAAAAGAATAAAAATAGTTCTGTGGTCCAAATTACCAAATCACACATTTTCCTCTTTATAAAGTATTCATATATATTCCATGTCCTAGTTTGCTAGATATTTCCCAATCACTTTTGTGCCCATAAAGCTGTTCTGCAGTAAAACTGGCTGAATACAAGTAGTCCTTGATTACCTATTAGCAACTGTCTTGGAAAGAGACCGTTTGCAGTTAAAGTGCTAAGGGCAAGCTCAGTTCAGTTGTCTTAGATTTCCTGAAAAACCCTAATTCATTTCAGCCTAAAGGCTTCTGTTTGCTTCTTAAGAAGCTTCCTAAACAAAAAGCCAGCTCTAGCCCATTTCTTTCAGTGTGTATTCTGCTGTTATGACTTACCTGGCTATGTGTGGTCATATCCCTCTGATTCTATAAAGCAAATCTGAAATAAACTTGTAAACACAATCATGGTCATGTATTTTCACTTAGTAACCAATTTGTTTAATGACTGAATCACTGGATCAATTGTGGTGTTATCGCTGGGGCTGGGTGGAAGGTTATTGTTTTTTATTTTATTGTTTTTTATTTTCTTTTTCTATACTGTGCTTTTATTATTTGTAAGCTGCCTAGAGTTGCTGAGAACTAGTAGGTGACTATATATATTTTCTAAATCTAAATAAATTATACATACATATTATTGTTATAGAAAGGTAGAGAATAAACAGGGTGTTATATATTAATGCTATTGTCAGAATAAAATAGAGAAGGGAAAATAGAAAGTAAAGAGACAGCTTTATCTTCAATAATGGCCAAAACATTATCTGACCAAGAAGTAGGCATAACAGACACTCTTGTGTTTTTAACCTTTTTCTCATGGGATTATAAAAGTAATCCTTATTTATCAACTGTCTTGTTTAGTGACCAGTCACAGTTATGATTATGAAAAATTAAGTTTGCAATATTGCATTTATGAACTTTGCAGGCCTGTAAAACAAAGCAAAGCTGAAGAAAGATCATAAGCACAAATGCAATTTCACTTAGTGACCACTTCACAACTGAGCTGCCAGTCCTATTTGTGGTAGCTAAACGAAGACTATCTGTAAAGGGAAAATACAGGGATATGGATTTCATTCTAAGCTCCTTAGAGTGGACTAAAATATAATACTTAATAAAGGATTCAAGAGTTTTCCCACTTTGCTGCTTTAGGTGTTTCTTAGTATTTAAACTAAATCTTGCTTGTGTTTCCGACTCATGTTCAATTTTTTTATCGTAAAATCCTCAGAATTATTATTGTTACAGTCCTATAGTATTAATTCAGTTTTTATCTGAAGATTGTGCTTTATTGCAGTGTTTAGATTTCAGATTGTGAGAGAATATTTGTACTTATAAAATGATGTTTTACAACCAGCATTCTCGTGTTTCTGATAAAAGATTTGAGTTAAGAATTAATCTTAGATCACAAAGCTACTCATGAAGGATCATATGCCTTTTCCACTGTGACACCAGTCATCTGGAACAGTTTCTACCTATCCCACCCCCCAAAATACATCTGGCCCTGAGCCTGTTGGTCTTCACAAAGGCTGAAATTCTTTATCTTGCTTTGAGGTGGGGATGGGGAGAGACTGTATTGTATGTCATCCAGAAGTTGCAGTGTTTGAGTTGGATGGCCATGTAAATTCTTTAAACAAGCAAATGTTAAGGAACTTCATTTAGAAAGGAAAGGCAGGTTTATATATTTAAGCAGTCCCACAGTCAAGTCAGGCTTCCAAAAATTGCAGAGCTTGCATTTCATTTCCATTAGATCTGAAGGCTGCTTTTTTAAATGGATGTGGCTATAGCTGCCTTACATCTATAATCTGCCTCCTTTTAACTGCTCGTCCAGAATAGTGATTTCCTCTGTGAGTATATCTTGAACATTGGTGCATACCATGTAGACATTTTTCTATCAATTTGTGTAAAATAGTGGGTGTTTAGGTACAGGTAGTCCTTAACTTACAACAATTCATTTAGTGACTATTTGAAGTTACCATGGCACTGAAAAAAATGACTTGTAACCGTTTTCACACTTAAAACCATTACAGCATTTCCATGGTCATATGATCAAAATTCAAACACTTGGCAATTTACTCATATTTATGATAGTTGCTATGTTCTGGGGTCAATCTGGCAAGCAAAGTCAATGAGGAAACCAGATTCACTTAACAACAATGTTACTAACTTAACAACTGCAATGATTCACTTAATAACTGTGGCAAGAAAAGTTGTAAAATGGGACAAAATTACTTAACAACTGTCTTACTTAGCAACAAAAAATTTGGGCTCAGTTGTGTCATGAGTTTTGGATTTACCTATATTTTGATTCTTTATTGTTAATAACAGGAATTAATTATAAATCTTAAATATACTTTCATATACTTTCATGTTATAGGAAAAACTAAACTGTTTAGTGTATATTCTAGTTTAATATTGATTATGTTACATTATTAGCATAGTTAATCCGATTAATTAGCTATTTCCTGTTTAGGATTTAAAATCTTATTTGCTTTAGTAAGTATTGTTGAATCAGTGGATTAAAAGAAAAGAAATACACTATGAAGGAACTATGATAAAGAGCTATTGTCCATAGCCTGAATAGGTTTTGGTTATAAATTTTATTTAACAGTCAGTCGTAAAGTGCTTGCTACATAAGGCACCAACTAACTATTGGTAATTACAAGTAGTCCTAGGTTAACTATCTTTAATTCAGCAACTATTTGAAGTTACAGTGGTATTGAACAAGGAGACTTAAGACAAATCATCAAAGTTACAGTTGCAGTATTCCTGAGTCATATCATGATTTGAGCTGTTGACAACTGGCTCACAATTATGATGGTTGCAGGACATGTGATCATAATTTGCAAGTTCAACATTGGCTTCCAACAAGCATAGTCAGTGGGGAATCCAGCAAGAAGTTGCAAACTGCAATCACATGATGTTGTGCTTAATGCTGTATGGAATTCACTTAACAACTGCAACTGCTGGAGCTGCCGTTGTAAATTGATACAGTCATACGACATTGTGCGTTACAACCATGTTATTCAGCAACAGACAAGTGTTATCAATTGCCATCGTTAGCTGACAACCTATATAGAATATTATCCAGGTTTTAATTTTAAATAGTTTTAAGTTTCTTCTTGTCCTCCAATTAAAACATAATATAAATATAAATAATATAAAGTAAGTATAATAAGGACTAACATAGAGGACCTTCTCTCTCTCCTGCTTACTACGTATATTAAAATGGGTTCATTTATTACTGGAAAAGGAAGATTCTTACATGCTTACTAAACCTCATCCAGGCTTTCTTCTTGCATGGTATCTTTGAGTGTTCTGTGCATGTGTATGTTTCTATGCACAGATGCCTGTGCACAGCTATCTATGTTTCAGCAATATCTGCAACAAGCCAAGATAGTGTCAGAATAAGAATACCCACAATGACATCATAATGCAAACTCCATCCAAAATCTGACACAAGTACATAAGTTGTGACTTTTGAACCAACACATCATGATGCTCATTTCATCCCTCCCCCTTTCATGGATGTCTGTGCAATGGGATAAAAATAAATCTTAGGTGAACCGTCTAAGAATGGATGCTGGTTTGCATTTTTTACTGTTCTGGGTGGTGAGACTGACCAATTCCTGAATTCCATGAAAATTATCTTTGCATAATTAAGTAGAAAGTTCTGTAGCTGGACAATATCCTGTATGAATCAAACTTAATACATGAAAAAGCTTTTTATAAATAATGTATTATCTTTAAAAGGCCACAGTTCTGCTGGATTGGAACAGCAATATAAGTAAACAAATAAATAAATGTAACCACTAGTTAATACTTGGTTCCATGGTGTTCAAATAAAAAAAGGGTGGGAGAGATCAAATATCTTAGCTATTTTTAGTTTTATAATTTAACAAAAATATAGAGTGGGATCAAGAGATCAATATCATACACTGAGATAATAGGATGAATATTTGTAACCAAATGTATGAACTCTTATGCCTGATTTCATAAGGTTTGATAATGCTTTTATATTTTAAATTTAATAATACTTTAATATTTTCTTTTATTTTTGCACAGCTTCTGGAAAAACACAAGAATACAGAAAGCATGGTGGAGTTGCTGGAATTATATCAAATGGAAGATGATGCATATGGTAGCCTTGCTGAAGCCACCACAGAACTCTATCAATATTTACTGCAGCCATTCCGAGATATGAGGGAACTTGCTATGCTCAGAAGACAGCAAATAAAGGTACAAAATCAGCAATATACACTGTAAAATATTATTGGATATCATAGCAAGTCCAATAATATTTCATCCCATGTGATATTTTGAACATCTTTGAATGTTTGCCACACTTTCTGAAGCTGTAAAAATTTGTGTCCAAGATCGGATCAAAATTAGAAGTACAAGAATGACTTTTCATCCTTTTTAAGCTTTATAGTCCCTTTTGATTTCTTTTCTTGATTAAATTATTTGTGAAGAAGGCAAATAAAGTCTTGGCTATGAGAAAAGATGTTTGATCATGGACATTGAATACAAATGTATTTGGCCTAACTTTCTAAAGTATTGAACTATTGGTTTTAGTAAAGAATATCTTACTCAGTCACTGAAATTTTGTGTGGATCAGATACTCTCTGGGTTTTGAGCCTTTCACAGTTAAGTGCTTACAAGATGCGAAATTTTTACAGATCAATAAAATAAGAAAACTGCTGGGGTTTTTTTTGAACAAATTTGAAATTCTAGGTTTATATTAGAGTTACCAGTTAGATGCTCAGTTTTAAGTTGCAACAGAACAATGGGGAAAAAATGCCAAATGGCATTTGTTATGACCTACACTGCTGACTTTACAACTCATTTGTATAACTGCTGTCTTCTAAACCATCCAGTTATTTCTATGTCCATAGCTAAACATTTTTGTAACAAACCTCCATTACACTGAATCATTTGAGGATAAGAAGAAAGATCTATTGAAATATACTTTTTATTTAAATATAAATAGCATGTTATCTATAAGAATATTCTTTTCATATTTATATAAGCATTGGTATGGTTAATTTTGTACTGGGAACCTGTTAAAGAAAAAGGATTAAGCACCTGTTCTTTATATGTATATTTTCCTGATGAGAGAATCCAGGAATAGATTAACTCCGTCTCCTACCTCATTAGACTGAGTCTGCCAAAGTTGTATGGACATGCCATTGCCTGTGTTCCCCAGCTTTCGACTCAGTATTTCAGCTGGATAGATGTGTTAGATTTCCTTAGGGATGCCTACTGTATTCGTAGTCTGTGAAGAAAAATTGCACTGATGGCATAATGATAAATAGATAAGTAAAATTCTCTTTGCTTAACTATTTATTATTGTGCCAACAGTTCCACTTTTACTTCCAAATATATTCTTCCAATAAATTGTAACATATTACAGGAATTTTGATTGTTTAGGACCTGCAAGTGCAGCTATTGGCTGTCTTATTCTATTAACATGTTATCAGATCTCTTCCAATGATAGAAAAGAGATACTAAGGAAAAAATGAATGACCATGAGATGAAATATAAATCCCATGCCCCAATGCTTAGCTATGGTGGATAATCTGCAAACTACTTGCCAAAAGGTAAGGGACAGGAACTGTTTATTCTTGTCAAGTAAAAGTGCTCAGAAAACATTAGCTGCCTGGAAAACTTGAAGTAGATATTTGGACAGAGACTAATTTCTAATTTAATGTCATCTGTAAAGTTTTCTTCAGTTTCCTTTCCAGTGCAGATTAGGACATGGGGCGAGGAAAGGATGTCACCACACCCTTTTCAAGCTTTTCAAAAATGCTGTACAATATAGTGTTTTAAATACTTTTCTACGAAGAGAATTCCTTTCCCTGTTTGTTCTGTTCTTGTTTTCATATTCCAGCATTATTGTCTTGCTGGAACATAGAAATCCTTTGCCTGCCCCTATCCAGAATGCATGCTCTTTCTAAATGCCTACAAGTTTCCTGGAGCTTGCTCCATTTGCAAGACTTTTAAAGACTAGGCAGATGTGTTTTGAAAATTTAGTAACTAGAGCCATGATGGCGAACCTATGGCATGTGAGCCAGAGATGGCACACAGTACCCTCTCTGTGGGCATGTGAGCTGTCGCCCAAGCTCAGCTGTGCCATGCAAGCACAAGCGCCTTCCATCGGCCAGCTGGTTCTCGGGTCTCTGCTGCACATGCGCGGAGGGGTACATGTGCGGGGTTCACACGTGCGCATTTGCGTGCACGCTTGCGCTTTGGGCACTTGGTTTGGAAAAGGTTAGCCATCACTGAACTAGAGGGACGATGGTTGAGATTTTTTTTTCCAGATATCTCTATGTGTTTACTTTGTTTACTTTGCCTTTACATCTCTAGTTTTTTTTATTCCCTGGATTATAGTGCCTTGTTTCCATCATTTCCCTTTGCAATAATAGGAAAAAGGACATGAAAAAAATGCCTATTTAAGGTTTGATAAGCAAATGAGCAAAATTATAAAGGGGGACTAAATGATTTTTAAACAAGTTTGTCCAATTTCCATTACTTCATTTTCTCAAACATTTTTTTGCTGTTCAGGAAAGTTCATATTTTAAAGAATTATCCTTATATAATCGTTGCAAGATTATATGTTTACTACTTATCCCTTGCTGTTTATTTCATGATAGATATAGTGAGTTGATTTTTTTTCAGATTTCCATAGAAAATGATTACCTAGGACCTAGAAGAATTGAAAGTCTTCAAAAAGAAGATGCAGACTGGCAACGGAAGGCTCATATGGCTGTATTATCCATACAGGACCTTACAGTAAAGTACTTTGAAATAACAGCAAAAGCACAAAAAGGTAATGAACAAGCTATTTTACATTTGCTGCTAAAGCTATCTGTTGTCTAATTTTTTTTTACATGTTCAACAATCTTGCAACCTTGCAGTTTCTCAAATTATCATTAGTATTCTATGTAACACTCTCTACTCAAATCACCAATTGGTGTGGTTTGATTGAAGGTGCTTATTCAGTCTGTGATATTTTGTGGGGAAAAGTGTCATATAATATGATTATTAGCACCATTCTGTTAAGTGGGGTATATTCCACTTTGAACACAAGGAATTGAAATTTGGGAAATAACTTTATATTGATTTTAATTTTTGAAATCACTGTCTTACAATTTTCTTTTTCCCTTCAGATTTCTTCCTTTACAAATTCAATACCAACATAAATTAATAAGCTATTGGTTCTTAATTAAAAACTATGGATACTTTCTTTCCTATTGATAACTTTTTATTATACTAAAACTATAATTAAAAAAAACAATTATTTTCTACAATTTCCCTTTTAATTTTCCACAAATTGGTTTCAGCTGTTTTCTCTAGTTGCTTTAAATAATACCAATAATTTGGCCATGAAATAGCATCGATCTATAGAATACATTAAATAAGAATAAAAATACCACATTTCAAAAAGATCCCATTTTTTTTTATTAAAATAACTACTGCTTTGAAGATTTTAACATTTTATTTGCATAAAGAGGAAGTTGATTTACTTAAATAGGACTTATAATGAAACTATTTCCAAGTTTGATAAGCCTGCTATTAAATTTTATTTACAGCTGTATATGATCGTATGCGAGCAGACCAGAAAAAGTTTGGTAAGGCAGCTTGGGCAGCAGCAGTGGAACGAATGGAAAAACTTCAGTATGCAGTGTCTAAAGATACTTTGCAATTGATGAGAGCAAAAGAAATATGTTTAGAACAGAAGAAACATGCATTAAAAGAAGAGGTAATAACTGATGAGTATGCAACCAAAAAGGAAACTTGAAAATTATTTTGTAGTGCTAAATTTCAGAATAATTGACAGGGACTGTCAAGGCTAGTGATTACAATTTGCTTTGAAAAGAGACTAGAAATTAATTAAGAGCTATTATGTAAGAGAAGGTTATTAGACTGAATTTCTTATTTGATTCACAACAGTGTCATTCAGGTATTTTTTGCTGGCAACATTTCAATTTAAACAAGGCTTGCTTATTTTTTTTAAAAGTACTTAGGCACAAATATATGAAATATATGAAAGGTAGGCATTTATCTGTGGTATTAAAATGAAAACTTTCTGGGAGGAAGATTAGATCCTACCTTGCAGTTCTGCTGCCAGCCATTGTCATTATGACAACCTGAAATCCTATATCATTGAGCATGCTTTAGATATGGTTGCTTCCCAACCTTTGCAACTTGGTGGCCCAGCTTTGGGGGAGGGGGGTAACCAGGCTGCATGAGTGATGGGTCAGTGTACATGCGTATGCACACAAGCTTGACTAGTTGATCTATGCACTGCATGCATGTGCATGACTGCCCATAACTCATGCAGCCTGTCTGTAAAAAGGCCACCGCCCGGTAGTATGATGCTGGGGGGTTGGGGAGTCCTGCTTTAGAGAATTACAAATATATTAGATATATTTGAATGTCTTCAATGTTATGCTTGGACTTAAGTTTAAACTTTCAATTTTATGTTTGGGCTGGGGTGTGTTCTAGGGCCTCAAAGTATTGTTTCCTATAGATTCTGAAAAGATGACATTTTGAAACTGGGTTTCTGTTTTAACTGCAATGTTGCTTGAATTTACTATGATAAAAATCAGTTTTGTGTGGCATCATGTTTGCTGAATTTGCATTTTAACAACATACATGAGGACAAATGTAACTACTTTGAACATATGGCAAAGAAAACTACTTTAGAAAAAAAGATTATACAAAGCAGTACTTTATTTCAGTCTATTAAAATTCCCTCTGCTGTATTTATCCAATATATGTATTGGGTGCATGAATATGTGTAGAAGAGTGGGTCTCTTTTTCGCCTATAAAATTTTATTGGGCCATTCAACTATTTTCAAGCACAGTAAGATATTTTATTATGATAAATTTTTAAAATTTATCTAAAGATTTTCTTTCTACACAAATAAAAATTGACCTTTGATAATGCATATAAAATTGAGCAGTTATTATGAATAATAGGGTTTTGAATAATAGGGTTTTGAATAATATTTGCTTTTTTATTTCTAATTCCTTAATGTGTCCTGCTCAGTGATGGAATATTTTGCAGTTATTTTATGGTAAGATTAAGATTTATGCTCTTTTTGATGTAATTATTAATTTTTCTAAAAAAAATCAGATGCAGAGCTTGCAAGGGGGCACAGAAGCTATAGCTCATTTGGATGAACTTGAAGCTGATTACTATGATCTGCAACTTCAATTGTATGAAGTGCAGTTCGAAATTCTGAAGTGTGAAGAACTATTTTTGACAGCACAACTTGAAAGCATTAAAAGACTTATTTCAGGTGACATATATTTGTTTTATATCTATATATTTAGCAGTACCATTGACTGGTATATAGGAAGTCTTTCTTCATTGATTGCCTCATTCCATGACTGTTTCAAGTTATGACAGTGCTAAAAAAATAATTTCATGGACAAGGCCAACATTTATGATCTTCAAAAAGTCTCCCAGACACAGAATCACCATTACATATAGTCCTTGACTTAAAACCGTTTGTTTAGTTTAAGTTAAAACAGCACTGAAAAAAGTGATTTATGAACATTTTTACATTTATAATTGTTGCAGCATCCCCATCAAAATTCGGATGTTTGGTAACTGGCATGTATTTATGAGAGTTGCAGTGGCCCAGTTTATGTGATCACTTTTTGTAATCTTCTGACAAGTAAAATGGGGAAGCCAGATATACTTAACAGCTATGTAACCAACTTACCAACTGCAGTGATTCACATAACTGTGGCAATCAAGAACATAAAATGGGGCAAAACTCACATAAAAACTGCCTTGCTTAGCAATGGAAATTTTGCATTCAATTGTAGTCATAAATCAAGGACTACCTGTAGGCATTGTCCCGTGCCTTACTTGTATTATTTCCTTTAGAGATCAAAGATATTAGACAGGAAGAAATTACAAGAGAGTCTGCAGGCATATAATAGGGAATACGCATAGAAAAGAATGTGATGGAGGTGGTAGCCTTGAGTACATTAGGCAAATAGCTGGTGTATTTCCCATTGTGTGTCTCCTTACCCTCTTGTAAACCCTTTCTCTGAAATCTCTCCACTCTGTGAGGCATGGGGGGGGGGGGGGGGGTGGTCAGACACAATAGAGATTGCCTACAAAGATTGTTTGGGTTTTTTCTCCACCCACCCCCCCGACCCTTGTTTGCTGATCAAACAATTTTCTATAAGAAGGGGTGGAGAATGAAGGAAAAAAGCAATGCATATTGTTCTTTACCCATTTAATTATTTCCTAGTTCAGTTATTGAAACTGTTGTACAGAACAGTCCAATGTACAGGTAGTCCTCAAGTTATGAATGTAATGAAGCCTGTCCATCCCATTTGTAACCTAAGGATTTATGGGAGTGAATCTCGTACCTTGAATAGGCTCACTCACTCCTTCTACACATTTGCTAATAGAATGCGAAGCTTGTTAAGTGTGCATGAGGTATTTCAGGGTGGGTGATGCCTAGTGAGGGAATATGCCACCTGCCTAACACCACCCAAGGCCTCCCTGACCCACTTAAATACCTTGTGCTCCCTACAATTGGTTCCTCCCCCCAACCTGCCATGCTGGGTCACTTAACTTGTGAAGATCTAGCAAACAGTCTCCTCTCAGCTGCTTGCGCCCCTCTGTAGTTTGTCCGCCACTCAGAAGGGCCATTTTGTGCAGGACATATGTTGCAGAGCCTCTGCAGTTGTTCGTAAGGGTGAACAACTGCTGTGCTGCTTCAAGTCTCGTAGTTTGGGGCCTTGTTCACAAATGCTAGGGGGCACTTATTGCATAAGTTCGAATGTTCGCTAAGGGAACGCTCGTAATTTGGGGATTATCTGTATAACTTGTTAATGGAATTTATTCAATATATATGATTGTAATCTTAATTGTTTTTACTTCTGGCTTTTTTTATTTTATTGTGATGTCCAGAGTAGACTCAGTTAGTGTCAAGATGTTGATACTGGTCTCTGATGATAAAGTGAATTTATGCTTTTAATTTAAGAAAAAAATAAATTGTGAATGTTCATTTGATGAATTTTTCCACACTGGTAACTTACTTGCTAACCACAATCACCATATACGAACATAGCTTTAGCAATAGCAATAGCAATAGCAGTTAGACTTATATACCGCTTCAAAGGGCTTTCAGCCCTCTCTAAGCAGTTTACAGAGTCAGCATATTGCCCCCAACAATCCGGGTCCTCATTTTACCCACCTCGGAAGGATGGAAGGCTGAGTCAACCTTGAGCCGGTGAGATTTGAACAGCCGAACTGCAGAACTGCAGTCAGCTGAAGTAGCCTGCAGTGCTGCATTTAACCACTGCGCCACCTCGGCTTTGTTTTCACTGAACTCCATTTTATATTTATATGTATTACACTGCACTACACTACACTACACTACACTACACTGCCCAGTAGCTGAAACAGTCAGAGTGGTTTACATAAGACTCACTAAGTGATTCAATTGGAATAAAGATATGAACAATACAATCAATTAAAATGCAAATGAAAACAGCATAAACTAGATGGCAGCAAGGCAATAATTCAGAATTGAAAACAATATAAATTAAAAACCAATTAAAAAGTCTGGGGAAACTTCTGCTCTGTAATCTAGTTTGTAAATGATTTCGTGGTTGTTTCTCTCCTAGGGCAAAGGCAGAGATAGATGTTCTAATCTTACAATTACATTTTTTAAAAAAAGTTTTTATAATGTTGCATACATTTTGTAGTATGGTTTTGCTTAACTGAATATACGTGTAAAATTATTAAACGTTGGAATTTTGTGACAGAAAAAAGAGATGAAGTAGTATATTATGATACTTATGAAAGTATGGAAGCCATGCTTGAAAAAGAAGATATGGCAGCATCCATACATTTGCAAAGAGAAGAGTTGCAGAAATTACAACAGAAAGTCCGTCAACTAGAAGCAAGGCGTGGTCGCATTTCTGCCAAAAAAGCCTACCTCAAAAATAAAAAGGTAATGCTTTTGTTCATTTTTCCATTTTTCAGCAAACAGATTTTGCAGGAGCAATAATTTAGCAGAGCTAAGATCATGAGATGTTGACTTAAAAGACAGACGTTTTTATTTATTTGAAATGCAGCAGCCAATCCTAATGCTAAGGCAGATTGCATTAGGCCATTTCTGTGCCATCTTCATTCACTTTCAAATAGTTGCTCAGTTCAAATATACTGTATATAAACTTGAAAAGCCTAATGATCAAAATCAAAATGACTTCTTGTTATATATTTTTGTCAGCCATATATTTAATATTTCCTTAATGCTAATCTGCACAAATTATAGTATTCATTTGCACACATATCTTCCTTTTGTTTCCTTGCTATAAGTACCATTGTAGGACTGAAGAGTGCAAGATAGCTCTTAAATTAGTGTTATGTTAGTCAGAGATTAGTGATATAGTTCCAGAAAAATAATTAGTTTTGAAATTCCTGATAAATAAATAATGCATCCAAAATGGGTTTATACAACCGGTTTGGGGCTGAATTAAATTATACTTTAATTTCAATTACATAATATTACTCTATATTTTAATTTTGGTTGGATACTAAAGAAATAATATTTTTTTCTCAATTGGGTTAAGCATGATTTATTTACTGTCATGTTTATAGAAATAACAGAAGAAGAGAGAGAGAGAGAGAGAGATGATGCTTGAAAACTACTCAAAAGTGTCAAGTCACATACACACACACACACATATTATGTCATTAGAAAAAAAATCTTTGTTTTATTCAGTTTGTACTATGCTCATTCTCTTAAATAATATTTACGCCATAGTGTAAATCCTATGGAGGGTGGGATTCTGTGGCAAACTAGCTGCTATGTACTAGTTTATAAACTTACTTTGATCAGACTCCTGCACCCCTACCCCACTTCCTACTCCCCTGTTTCTGTTCATTCTATTGCAAAGGAATCAGTGTATCAACCAGAGTGTTACTCATTGTCTTGCAAGTATGAAAGGTCTTTGTATCCATGGTCAATTATAGATTCACATATTATACCTTAACACTGAAAGAATATAAATAAATTTTCTGTGGCAGAGCTTCTGCTATGAATCAGAGTTCCTCGATTAAAGACAAGATTGATACATAAAGTCATATTTAAATGGAAAAATGTTCTTTCTTTGTAGGAAATCTGCATTACAAAGCATAATGAAAAATTCTCACAACATTCTCAGACTGAGGGAGAGTCAGAAAATGCTGCAAAGTTTGTGAGTTTGGTTTCTGTCAGTATTCAAATTTTACTTTAAATATTTCAGCCCTAATTGTCTTTGCTGATTGAAGATTCTTAAAAGAAAAATCATCTTATATTTGTACTTTTGCTACTTCCACAATTGGTATTAATGCAATTGTTAGTGTCCTTTTTACAGAATTTTATAGGTGTGTGTGTGTTACATACACACACACACACCCTGTCTAGGATGGATGTTATTTTATTGTTTGTATGTTTTGTTTCAGTAACTTAACAGCTCTACCTTAATTAAATTGGTTTGAATATTAATCCCAAGTCTATACATTTCCATTACTAACATCAACTAGTATTTCCATTTATAAATGTTACGTTATGAAACTACTTTCTATTACTAAGCAATGCACTTACTACTGCAAAAAATATTAAGGAGCAAAAGGAACCTGGCTGTGGAATTAAGCTATTTGCAAGATTATTTTAGAAATGACCACAGAAGGAAATAAGTGAAATAGCCCAGACAGCACTCAATAGTGTAAAGTTCTCAGTTATTGGAATCTAAATAATCTCTAGAGTTTTAGTGCCTAACTATATATTAAGAGAAAAGAATGAACAAAAAAAAATCCCATAATCATGTGACATTTTAAAAGCTAATCATTTTTTAAAGAATCCCATTATCTTTTGTGGATCTATTCCAGCTTATCAGTTTATTACATGAATGTTCATTTTTAACTTGGTTAAAGATACAGCAATATTCCCTGAAGATTTTTTAGTATAAAAGATTAAAATGACTACTTTTGTAGAATTTTTGACACAATGAGATAGCAGCAACTTATTAATAAAAATATTGAATTAATGAAAAAGAGCCAGGTTATGTTTAATAAATTCACTGCACCAAAGAAAGAATATATATTGAATTGCATTGGGCTAGTCATATAGCAAGAAGAACTGATGACAGGTGAACCAAGGCAGTCATAGAATGGATCCCACTTGGTAAAAAGTGTCCAGGAAAGAGACCTAAAATAAGATGAATCGAAGTCATCAGCAAGTTTTGCTGGCCCAATTGGCGAAAGAAAGCTCAGGACCATATTGGTTGGAAACATATGGAAGAGGCCTTCATCCTGCAGTGGATAAACAATGGCTAAGATGATGATGATGATGATGATGATGATGATGATGATGATGATGATATAACACTTTTACATTCTGAAATGTTAAAGCATGTTTATTTTTATATACATAGATATATATATATATATGCATATATATATGCATATATATATGCATATATGCATATATATATATATATATATATATATATATATATATATA